TCCTCCCCCTTCTCTCTCAGACTATGACTGATGTGGTGGGTAACCCAGAAGAGGAACGCCGTGCCGAGTTCTACTTCCAGCCTTGGGCTCAGGAGGCTGTGTGCCGATACTTCTACTCCAAGGTTGGTGCTGTGCCTGGGGCATACTCGGGAGATGGTGCAAGACAGGTGTGCACCTTTGGTGGCGTCAGGGGTGTTGGTGCCGACCTTTGACATCTCCAGCTCCACTCGTGTTTTTCTTCAGGTGCAGCAGAGACGGCAAGAGCTAGAGCAAGCCCTGGGGATCCGGAACACATAGGCCTCTCCGCCCTCCCAGTTCCGTTTGGGCCCATGCTGCTGCCTCGCGGGCTGTGCTGGTCTTGCTTGAGGCATCAGGAGATGCTGTTGGTTCAAGGGCAGCATCCCAATGAAGAGGGTGTCCCCTTTGTCTCACAGGCACCTGTTATCCTCCTCTTCACCCCAGCCTCCCCCTCAGCTTCTCCTCACCAAGTTCCCATGTGCCTCTACCTCCCTCCTCCGTCCCTGGTCTACATAGGACCTCTAGATAGTGTTAGAGACCCATAGTGGTAATCAATGCTCGGAAATGACTGGGGCCTCTGGCGGCCGGGTGGTCTTCAGGGAGACCGCTACACTGATCCTGCCCTTGCGAGGAGACCCAGGCATCGGGAGCTGTGGCCTCCTCTGAGACTCAGGCCTAGGGCACTCCGTAAGCTAGTTGACCTTAACCCTCCTGGTGGCCGCCCGCCTTCCTCCCTCCACTCCACAGGTTGGAGAAAATCCTCCCTTACTCCTCGCCCCCTGGCACTGAAGGCGCCCAGGCTCTTGGGCCTCACTGAGCCCCAGGTCGGTCCCTGCCCTCTGGACTGCCCTGCTGTCTCAGTGCTGTCCGACCCCTTAGTGGGTCCATGTCAGTATTGGAGTGGGGTTTGAACTGTCGCTCCCTCCCACACACTCCCGTAGCCACCCCGCCCTGTATAGGATTCCCCCATATCTGCCCCCACCCATGGCATTTGGGAGGGGGCATCTTGCCTTTCCCTGTCAGAGCCCCAGGGACCGAAGCTGGGGTGCTGCTGTTCCCAGCAGAGACTGTTCCTTCCTGCTGTTGGAGGAGTGGCTTGTTCATTCACTCCGCCCTGCCCCCTCCCTAAATGGAGAAACAGGCCTAAAATCAAACGGGTAGAGCCCTAGGCCATCACTGTCTTCCTGTCCCATGTCCGCCCCGTCGGAACCCACTGGTGGTTTCCGGGGCACTGAGGAGTTAGCGCCTAGGGCTGGAGAATAGGTCTGAAATGGGTCTGTGACTCCCCGCCCCTGCCCTCAAAGCTTCAGACCCCTCAGGTAGCAGCAGGAAGGTGTGATCCTGGCTCCTTGGAACAGGTGGTTTTGCATCTTTCCAGGGGAGCCTCAGATCTTCCAGGTTTGATCGCCCGGAGTTAGCATGTCCCAGGCTCGCAGACGACACTGCAGGGTGGGGACAGCTGGGCGCGGGGATTCCGCTGAGCGTGGGCTCTGAACTCAGAACTGACAGCCCTTGCTTCCCCACCCCTCCTCAGGCTCCTGCGAGCAGTGGTCCTGCCCCCTTTCCCAGCCGTTCTGTCCTGGGACAGCCGATTCCCCTCTTCCCTTGTCCTCTACCCCTCCCCTCGGAAGGTTCTCCCCACAGTGACACTGGACGACCCTGGGGCGGCTGAGCCCCAGCCTGGCTCCTGGCTGGAAGCGTCATGAGGAAACTCGGCACTCCTGCAGTGTCCCTGTGGATGACTGTTTATTAACTCAGTTGTGGGGTTTTGTTTGTTTGTTTGTTTTGTTTTGTTTTTTTTTTTTCATGGACCAAATTTTTTTTTGTACCGTCTCCTTATTGACGTCACCCAGTTTTAATAAAAGACTCTTCTGAAGAGTGGACCTCTTGCAGTCTGTGGTTTTGCTGCTGTGGCACCAGCTTCTCTCCCCGCTGCCCTTTTATTTGACAGGTGTTTATTGAACACGTGGTGGGTGTCAGTTGTGCCAGGCTCTGGGTGTCTGGAGAAATGAGCATTTTCCCCGGGGACTCTGGGTCTCACTTCGGAGGCTCGTGACCTCCATATCCAAGCAAGCCACGCTCCCAGGAAGGCTGCTCCCACTGCAGCCCATCCAAAGCGGACAGGGCAGAGGCGCTGCTGGCTTCTCCCTTGTCCCTGAAGTCTCTAGGTCAGCTGCTGGCTGGAACAACCTGTCCTTGGTGTCTGTGGCCCCTCCAGGTTGAGGAAGCAGGCTCTGCCCTCCCCAAGGCACATGTCCAGTCAGCTGTTGCCGAGGTCCTGGTGACAGCAGGCATTTACATTTTCAGTGCAAAACCACCAATTGACTGATCCCATGGTTTGGGGGTTCCACTTAGGGCCCCAAGATATCAGGGTTTTCTTTGTGTTGTATTCTTGGCGATAGGGGTCTCTGTATGTAACCAAGGTTGACCTTAAACTCGCTATCCACCTGCCTCAGCCCCCCAAGTAGAGATTACAGGTGTGTATTACAATGCCCAGTGGAAGAAGTCTGTTCTTAAACCCAGTGTGGAATGGCTGCTTTATCCTTGTGTAGACACAAGCCTGACAGCTGCTCAGGAACCTTAATTCACTTGGTGAAGGTGTGATATGCCTGCAGTTCCACCTGCTTCCACCCGGTGGCTCACTACTTCCTCCCGTACCCTTGTCCGTGTGGAAGGAACAGAGTGAGTGCGGCCACAGTCTCAAGTCACAGTTACGAATCTTACCCATTGGGGCAGCGTATTGGCACACCCCTTTAATCGCAGCACTAGGGAGGCAGAGACAGGAGGATCTCTATGAGTTCAAGGTCAGCCAGGACTACATAGACCCTGTCTTGCAAAAATAAAACCTCACCCATTGAGTAGATGGGTGGAAATGTGCCAGGGCTGCCTGCCTGTCCGCTCACCATCTAGAGAGCATCCTGGTTTCTCGGAGTTGAGAGGGGAAGAAAGTGTAATAACTTGGGGTAGAGAAATCGGGTGTCAAGGGCACCGAGACGGCATCTGTTCTCACCCAGGCTAATTGCACGTGTAACGAGTGACTGGTGAGTCACGCTTTTCAAGCAGACACTGCAGCTCGCTCTTGGAGAAGCTTTGATGGTACTGACAACTTCCTGTAACAAGCATCCCCTTTATTTCTGTGTGAATGGCCACGTGCTTTGTTTCCCTACACTACCTAATGGGACTGGAGGGGCAAAAGGGTGGGAGTATTTAGGCAAAAACAAGCCATTCATTTCACCCATAAATGCCCATTCTTCAGGGTTCCTATCATATGTGCCAGGGACAGGCACATCCTTTCTCTTCCACCCGTCATAATCAGTGCTCCCAGCTGGCAGCCTGGCACCGAAGCCTTCTTCTCAGTGCCAGTGTGATAAAGGAGTGGTCTGTGGGAGGCCAGCTCTGCATTGGAGGAACTTGTTAGAAGAAAAACCGACTGATTTCATGTTGGTTCCCATCATAGGGACTGCCTAGCCTTGATAATATGGTGGGCTTTTTCTGTGGACTCCCTGAACTGAGAAAGGACATGCTTCCAGGCTTGACCTCCTACCCACTGAGACTTCACTGGTTACACGGAGACTCCCCTCTAACCTAGTGCTGATTACTGTTACTGGCCAGTGGTAGCCTGGGGGATGGCAACACTCACTCACTGGTTTGCCAAGCCAGGAGGTCTGCACATGAGCGTACAGTGGTGTCTGCCCTGTAGGTCAAGGTGCAGCGCTGGAGAGTGAGGAGCCTGCACTGTGCTCTCCAGAGTGGCTTGGAAACCCAAGCTCCTCCCCTTAGTCAAACAGACGGCGGCGGGTGGCCGTGGATGCCACGGAGCCCAAACTGCTGGATGCGGGCTGACCGTTCCTCCCTCCCCCAAAGTCACGCATGGGCATCCGAGACCACAGAGCTCCAGGAGACACTGCTACCCCGGAGTTTTAGACAGTGCTGCTCTAAATCTGGCTTCTCTTCCCCTTTCTGGTCTCTGTAAACTAGCTTTTTAACTAAGGGTCCCAGTGGGATAGGCAGAAGCAGGGGGAGGAAACTGAAGGAAGCACGAAGCTTCCCTGGGACAGTGCACGAGCTGGCCACCACCTCTCTGCCCTTCCTGAAGCCTGGAAGAACTGTGGGCCACGTGGCAGCAGAGGTCTACCTTTGACCTTCCTTTCTTTTCTAGACCTTCAAATGGGGATTATCTGAGGTGAAAGGACTCACTGGGAGTCCCTGATATGAACCAAGATGACCTTGTTCTTTTTGATTTTTCATGACAGGCTCTCACTATGTCGCCTTGGCTGTCCAGGATGGCCTCAAACTCACAGAAATCCACCTGCCTCTGCTTCCCCAAGTGCTGGGATTAAAGGTGTGCGCCACCATGCCCAGCTTCTCCTGGGATAGCCTATCCTTGGTCTGGGGTATCCTAAAGCAGCCCCCTTACCTTGTAGGTGGCATTATCACTAGAAATGGGTTCACATCCTCTGACCCTCTCACCCAGACTCTGTGGTGGAGTTCCCACCATGAGAGTGAATGCTGGAGAACAGAGTTGGAGCAGCTGAGGACCCAGGAGAGGTGTGTGGTAGGGTGAGAAACGGAGTCCGCCTTTGAAAACATCCCTGCGTTTGTCACTAATGCTCGGTTCTTTTTCCCCTTCCTTTCCTTTTTTGAGACGGGGTCTCACTCTTGGACTTGAACTCATAGAGATCTTCTTGCACCTGCCTCCCGAGTGCTGGGGTTACAGACATCACCGCCATGCCCAACCCTGCTGGTTGCAGTTTATGTCAGTGCTGGGGACCGGTGACTAGTGAGCACTGGTTCTTGGCCAGTCTCAAGATGAGCCCATTGCAGGTAGGTGGGGAGCTACAGCCGAGGCCAAGGGGAGAAGCTGGCCAGCACCGCCTGCTGCAAACCGGAGAGGAGAAGCTGCTCTGGCCTCTGGCCCATCCCTGTTCCCACCTGTCTCTACCCTTTACTCCTCTTTCTCTGGGCCAGACTCCCTACCCCTAGGCGCCAGCCTCCGGGCCACCTCAGAGGCGGAGCTTGGCTGCACCCGCGTGTGGCGGAGTTAAATACTCACAGCCCACACCCGCTGGGGCACAGAAGCTAGAAGCCGCACCATGGCTGGCAAGAAAGTCTGCATTGTGGGCTCCGGGAACTGGTAAGCGGTTCTGTGAAGGGCATGGGTGAAGGGCAGGCTCCTCCAAGGGCAGAGGGGCTCTCCAAAGGGAGGCTGGGTGGGCGGGGAGCAGGCAGAGGGTAGGAAATGCCCTCCGGAGCCTGCTGGACTCCCGCTGCTTACGGCGGCGGCGGCGGCGGGCGCACAGGACACACTGTGCCCGGCCCTCCCTCGCCGTGCCTGCCCCGGCAGCTGCACCTGTTCACCATAGGGAGATGAGCAGAGTGCTCTGCTCCCTTCCCTCCCTGCTTGAGAAGCTGCTAGGGTTTGGGGTGGGGTAAGAAAGTTGGCCCACCTCCCCAACAGCAAAGACTAGGGTAGACTGAATCTCCTCTCTATTGCCAGTCATGGGAGGGAGGCGGTGGGGCGGGCCGGCGGGTGGGCGGGGAGTGATATGAGAGGTAGGATGTAAAAAAATCCAACAAGCTTTTTGAGGTCCTACTCAGGAGGTGGTTTCCTCCCCCCCCCCACTTTCCTATCCCCCACACACAGGGGCTCAGCCATTGCCAAGATCGTGGGTAGCAATGCAGCCCGGCTGGCACACTTCGACCCTCGGGTGACCATGTGGGTGTTCGAGGAAGACATCGGGGGCAGGAAGCTAACTGAGATCATCAACACACAGCACGAGAATGTCAAATACCTACCAGGGCACAAGCTGCCCCCCAATGTGGTGAGCCCCAACTCGCTGTGAGGAAAGAGAGGGAGGCAGGGGAGGGTTGTCCAACAGTCAACACTCAACCCCGACTTCGAGGGGTCTCCTCCAGAGAGGCCACTCTAGGTGCCAGCTGGCCCGGGGGAGCGGCTCAGGAGGGTGCTCTAGACCTGAAGTGCCCTTCTGCAGCCTCGAGATTGCTCCTTTGGACTCTTTCTGGAATCTGAATGAACCACCCCTTATAGATGCTTAGGTGGGAAAAGGAGGGGAGAGGGAGAAGTTGGTCTCTGTGGCAACCAAAGGTTGGTTCTCAGGCTCCTAGACGTGGGTCCAGTCTTCCACGCCTGCTCTGCCCTCTAACCGTGTTACTCATTCACTGGTTATTAGCAGATTTGTAGGCCGATCATTGGACTTTGGTCAAATCCATATGGTACTCTCCTTGCCTAGAAAAGGGGGTGCAGGGAATAGACAGAAAGATCCCAGCTCTCCCTGCCAAGTTAGGGCCCCTAAGAAGTGGTGATGAAATCTTACTTGGCCTCTTCCTCCTGCCAAGTCTAGGCTGCCTTTGGCAGCCTTCACTGACCCATAGCCAAGGACTAGGAGTGTGGCTTTAGTGAGGAGCACTCCAGGAGGGCCAGAGGGACGCAGGAGAGCTGGAGTGGGGAGGTATGACAGCCTGGGACAGGGAACACAGGAAGTTCTGATCTTTCAGTTCAGTCTCAAAGCCCTCCCTCCCCGACCCCGAGTCTTTGGCTTGAAGATATTCAAACGGAGATCCCCTAGGACTCTCCCAGGGAAAAGGAGAGGTCTGCCAGGCACAGGAGCATCTGGTCTCCCCACAGGTGGCTGTCCCAGATGTGGTCCAGGCTGCAACAGGCGCTGACATCCTGATCTTTGTGGTGCCCCATCAGTTCATTGGCAAGATCTGTGACCAGCTCAAGGGCCACTTGAAGGCCAGCACTATCGGCATATCTCTTATTAAGGTATCAGGGACCTCGGGGTGGGGTGGGGGTGGGTCAGCTCACTGTTGTGGGGTTTGGGCGGTCAGTGAAGTAAGCAGAAAAGAATATACAGAAAGTCCAGAGACGGACGGGAGGGACTGGCTCTGGAGAGGGTTAAGAAAGCAGTCGGGGCTGGGAGTGTGGCTTGGTGGTGGAGAATTGACCTAGCAATGCCTGAGGTCTTGGGTTCGATCCCCAGCACAAGGAAAGGAAGGAAAAGGAAGGAAGGAAGGGAGGGAGGGAGCGAGGGAGGGAGGGAGGAAGAAAGGAAGGAAGGAAGGAAGGGGGAAAAGAAGAGTCAGCTGCCGGGTTGCTTGGGGAAGCCGGCACAGCTTTGGAGGCAGATGTGTCAGAGAAGTTTAGGAGGCCTGGAAGCTGAGAGGGATGAGGAGTGAACTGGCTTGGGAGATGAAGCAGCAGCCGGTCTGAGCAGTCCTCGGGCTAGAAGTGGGTTGGGATGTCTAGAGAGTTCTTTGGGGATATGAGGAGTACACTACCTTGGAAAGGAAGGTTGGTTGAGAGTGTGTGTATGTGGGGGCGTCTGATGAGACTGATTGGTTGCTGCTGTCTACTGTCCTCACAGCAAGTGTGGGCTGGGTGGGGTTGGGGCAGGACCTCTGGACACAGATAAGCAGTGGGCTTGGAAGAGGCAACCCTGGGAGGGAAGCCCTCAGCTGGGTACAAAGGACAGTTGGCCTGAGCCCCATCCTATGCCCAGGGGGTGGACGAGGGCCCCAATGGGCTGAAGCTCATCTCTGAAGTCATTGGGGAACGCCTCGGCATCCCTATGAGCGTACTGATGGGGGCCAACATTGCCAGCGAGGTGGCCGATGAGAAGTTCTGTGAGACAACCATTGGTGAGAGCCCCTGGACACACCACGAAGCTCAAGCAGCTTCCCAAACCCCTTAGCTAATCCCACAGGGCAGGGAAAGAGGAGAGCTTCGGAGCTGTGGGGGCGGGGACATCCGGAGGAAGGGGCTGTGCATCTTGCTTTGGCGGGTGTGCCAGGTACTTGGGCAGTGTGTGCACCTGCAGTCCCAGCTACTCAGAAGACTGGAGCAGGAGGATTTCTTGAACCCAGGAGTTCCAGGCCAGCCTGGGCAACACAGCAAGAGCCTACTTTAAAGATAAAAACCAAAACTGTCCTTCAAAGCCCTATCCCTTCTTTACTTCAGGCTGCAAGGATCCGGCCCAGGGACAGCTCCTGAAGGAGCTGATGCAGACAGCCAACTTTCGAATCACTGTGGTACAAGAGGTGGACACAGTGGAGATCTGTGGGGCCCTGAAGGTGAGAGGGCCCAGAGGCAGCTGTGGAGGGGGAGCAGTCCCCAGAGGGCCCAGCTTAGTTCTTTAGGGTTGCCAAGACCGACTCTTGCACTTGGGCAACATTTCCAGCTCTCCCCACATCTTCCCTTCCACACAGAAGACCCTCAAGCAAAGCCAGGGCAACCAGGCCTGCTGATTCCTATCCACTCAACAGTGGCTTCTTCTTCTGCTCTCCTTCGAGCTCCTTTGAGACACAGCTAGCCCTGGGGCCATGTGATGGTCCAAGTCCAAGAGATGTCCAGGTTAATGGCAGACAAGACGTTCAGGGTACCCAAAAAGTTGATGGCCAGAACGATGGTGGCATGTACCTTTAATCCCAGCACTTGGGAGAGACAGGCAAATATCTGTGAGT